TTTTTCGACGTCCTGAATATAATTCCGAAGCCGTTTTGCAAATTCTGACCCGAAATTCCCGAATCGAGCTTGTAAACCCAAAAGGCTTAATATTTTAATATTTGATTATTTAAATGAGATTGGTCAAGGATTTATTCAATAAAAATATTTTATGAAGGTACTCGTGTTTCACCTGAGCAATGATCAATTAGGTCCGGTGTTATCCGTTCGTTAGATCAGTCTGAACCGCGTACTACGAGAATTACCCGTAGGTTTCCGTATATTATTTAAATAATATTTAGATTATTATATTAGGATTCAATATGGATTTTTCCAATTCGTAGGATCTAGCGCTGCAGCAGAACGTGATCGACAGACCCAGTAATAGGCTTCCCTATCTGATTTTCCAGACTGTTACAGGTGTGTTCCTGATAGTGTTATATTATTGTTTTAAAGTATATAAATACTGAATACTGTGTATCTGATTTCTGATTTACTGTATATTCTGATATGATTTCTGGTTACGGTATTTATTCCGTTTTCTGAATACTGATTACCCAACATCTGAATTACCATACATTACTGATTTGATTTTTGATTTATGTATTTCTGTTTATGGTTTTCAAGCTTGAAATATTCTTATGTTTTTAAAGAATTATTCATTGTTTTATACGAACATTCATGTTCATTTCTATCATTGGGGGGGAATATTGTTGGAGGAAGATTACTGTAGGTTTCTCGGCTGTGTGCTCAGGGCCTTACTGTTACTGGTTGTGCGAGGTGTATGGTTCTGGGGAACCTACACAAACAGATTGTGAAAGGATAGGGGTAGTGTTCATGTTTTCAAAACATGTGCATAAACAAATTTTATTGAAATATTTCGTTAGTATGTTTTTATACACTGTTTGGAGCACACTGGGCTTTTTAGCTCATTCTGTAAATTTTAACCTTTTTCAGATAACAGCAGACCGTAAGCTAGCAGATTTGGCATCAAGAGAAATCAACTACTTTATTTTGTACGAACATATATTTCTATATGTTTTTCGGTTATGTTTGGTGACATGTATTTTATTATCGTTTTAGACATATCTGTATTATTAATATTATGTTCTATATTATATTTAACGTTCTATAAGTTATATAAAAAAACCTTTGAATGGGATATGTGACCCGCTTAGGTTTGGGTCTATCTTACAGACCGGGTCTGGAGGGTTACAAGTTGGGTCAAGTTGAATTTTTAGTCGATCTAAGTTGGGCTTAGAGAGATTCTATTTAATTCAAAATCTTACTTGAATTTTAGAGTTAAAAGTGTATCTTATTTGATCCGACACAAATATAATTTTTTTTATTTTTATTCAGTAAAAAATAGAGTTAATTGATATATATATATATATATGGCTGAGATTAAAAGTAGGAAATGTGAAAATATTTACTGAAAAAACAATGAGTCAATCTCATACATCTATTTTCACTTATCCAACGATCTTAAACATGTGCAAAACTAAAGAGATTTATACTGTATAAGTGAATCTTAACTCGTATATATAAATATATATAGATATAAGAGCATGATCTTCTTACACAATGTAAAATACTTTTAGTTTTACACAGATTTAGAACCGTTATATGAGTGAAAACATATGGTTGAGATTAAAAGTAGGAAATGTGAAGATATTTTTTTTGGGGAAAAACAATTATCGATCTCAACCATCTATTTTCACTCATCCAACGATCTTAAATATGTGTAAACTAAAGAGTTTCACACTGTATAAGTGGATCATAACATATATATATATATATATATATATATATATATATATATAGGCATGATCCTCTTACACAATGTAAAACTCTTTTAGTTTTACACAGATTTAGAACCGTTGGATAAGTGAAAACAATGATTGAGATTAAAAGTAGAAAATGTGAAGATATTTACCGAAAAAACAAGGAGTCGATCTCAGCCATCTATACCTATTTTAATATCTCATGTCAAACCATATATATTTTTTATCTTAAACATTAACCTAATTTGATTTCATCTTTACAAAACATAACATAAATCCAAATTTCTAAAATAATTTAATCTTATAACAACAAATCGAACTGAATCTCATCGTATTCAAATTTTAGGACAAATTATGTGTTTAGTACCTAAACTATCAATTTTGGTATATTTTAGTATCTAAATTTTTAATTTTTTAAAATTATACCTAAAGTTTAGTTTTTGTTTCATTTTAGTGACATTTCGTTAAAAACTTCAAATTTTGTTTTATTTTAGTACCCGTTCAAAATTTAAAGTTAAGTTTTGAAAAAATTAAAAGTTTAGGTATTGAAACAGAAGGAAACTGATAGTTTATGTACTAAAAGCGTTAAGTTTTTAACGACAGAGTAAAAAAATGAGATGAAAACTAAATGTTAGGTATGATTTTGAAAATATTAAAGTTTAAGTGCTAAAATAGACCAAAATTGATAGTTTATATACTAAATGCGTAGTTTACCCTAATTTAAATTAAAAATTACTAATATCTGACTCGATTAGTACTTTTTTAAATAAGGGAACAAAACCAAACACGGCCTTAAAGGTTACAAAATGAAAAAGGAGACAACGGACTCCAACGTTGGCACTAGAACAAGCAAGCTCCTCGTCTTTTTCACTGTTCTGTCTCTCTTTCCTCTCTGATCAGCTCTTGATCTAACTCGGTTAAGCTCAAATCAGAAGAGTATGAGTCAGGAAGCGTTTATTTACAGCTTCGTGGCTCGAGGAACAATGATCTTGGCCGAGTACACCGAGTTCACTGGGAATTTCCCAGCAATCGCAGCTCAGTGTCTGCAAAGACTCACTGCTGCTAACAACAGGTTTACTTACAACTGTGATCACCATACCTTTAATTTTCTCGTTGAAGATGGTTACGGTAATTCCCAGAACTCTGATCTCTTTCTCTCCTTTTCTTTTTTCGTTTCATTTTGTTTCTCGAGAAACGAACAGGTTGCGGTGGTTTAAATGTTGCATCGGAGGTTAAAGTTGGTGGATCTAGCTGGAATAGTGTAAAATGGGACGTGGGATTTGACGGGGTTTTGTTAAAACATTGGAAAGTTAGCTCCTTTTAGTGTATTAATTAGTTTTACTTTGTTTGGTTGCTGAGAAAGTTGTAGAAAATGGTGGGAATTCTCCAATAAATCTCAGGAAGAAAAACATTTTTTTTAAACTATGTTCTCCAATTGCAAATGCCTGTAAATTGTTTGTGCAAAGTTTATCAATTTCTTATGCTCATCTCTTTTTGGCTAAGAATTGTGTGTGCAGCTTATTGTGTTGTTGCCAAAGATGCTGTTGGGAAGCAAATCTCTCTTGCATTTCTCGAACGAATGAAGGCGGACTTCAAGAAGCGATACGGCGGTGGGAAAGCCGATACGGCGGTGGCCAAAAGTCTCAATAAGGAGTTTGGGTATGTTCATATCCATGCAACTAATGGACAGTTAATCTTTTTGTTTTCTTTCAATCAGTTTGCATTAATATAACTTAAAACGAAACACCGCGACCCGCAGGCCAGTAATGAAGGAGCACATGAAGTATATCATCGAACATGCCGAAGAAAATCGACAAGCTATTAAAGGTCAAAGCTCAAGTTTCGGAAGTTAAAAGTATAATGTTGGAGAACATCGACAAGGTAAAGTGCTTCTGATGTTCTGTCTCTGGCATTTGCCTTCTTTTCCATCGGTTGTTCTTTAGACATGACTGTAATGGTGCTATGGTTGGTTATGTTACATTTTGCATTCACGGATCAACCATCAATGCTCGAAATGTACTGTTCGAGTGTTAGTTTTAATCAAGATCGGGTCTAATGGGAAAACGAGTGTAAAAAAGCCTTGTTTATATGACAATTTGATTCTGCATCCCAGGCAATCGATAGAGGAGAGAACCTATCGACCCTCGCTGACAAAACCGAGAATCTTCGTGATCAGGCAAATTCCATTTTCAACATTTTCAATGTCAAAGCTCGATCGATACGTTATATGTATTAGGTTTCACGTTATCGTCTTTTCTTCAGGCCCAGGCTTACAGGAATCAAGGCACGAAAATCCGTCGTAAAATGTGGTATCAGAACATGAAGATAAAGTTGGTAGTTCTCGGAATCTTGCTGCTTCTTGTCCTGGTAATCTGGCTCTCCATCTGTAACGGATTCGATTGCACCGACTAGCAGTGTTCGAGAGTCTCGTGAAGAAAGTAAAGCTTTTGATATAGCAAAATGTAAGCATTTCTTACCATGATTTTGAGTTTGTGTTGAGAGATTTTAGGGTTCATTGAAACACTAAAAGCACAATGTATCATGCGCAGTGGAAAGTGCAATGCTTCTCTGTTATTTTGTAGGCCTTGTATGCTCTCTCTATATAAGATACAACGATGAATGCCACCATCATTAGGCCTGCTTATTACTTTATGGTTGAAAATCTTATGCAATATACTCGACATTGGTGAATCGTTCGAACCGGAACCGGTGCTATGGCCGGTTCGGTTCTTACAATATTGGATTTTATGTTTGTTGAAGGTCTAGTTTAGCATTACTTTTGAAAATCTCAAAATAGTTTGTCTTCATCTTGCAAGAACCCGAGTAGAGGATGGTATTTTTCGGGTTCTTCGATACTATCTTTTCTTGCTCAAGAATCTAAACCCAGAAACCTTCAACTTCTCCTCCACAATCCTATTCATCTTCTCCCCCATCTCATCACTCAAACAACTCCAATCCCCAACAATCCCTTTCCTAAAATAAGCACTACTCTCGATTGTCTTCCCTTTCTTCCCATGCACACTCCTATTCCCCTCCATATCCCTCAAACTCTCGAAACTACACATCTTCACAACCTTTTCCACCACCCCTTCTTCCTCTTCCTCCTCCGAAAACCCGCACCCGAAGAACTCGGTGAGTTCTTGTCCTCAACCATGTCTTCGTATTTGACGAATAGTATCGTTTCGGGTTTGTTTTGCTTGCTTCATTGTAACTTAGTACTTGGTCCCAATATGGTCCATGGGAAGATATGCCTTTGCAGAAGAACTCGAAGGCTTCTCCGATCGGGATGAAGTTTGCGGTGTCGTCGGGGAACCACATGGAAACGAAGGTGTCTTTGGGGTCTCTGCAGATGTAGACAATTTCGCAACTCGAATCGTGGATGGATCTTGGCAAGCATGTGTAGGGAAGGTGTGAAAAAATGGTAACATAGGCAGAATCATAGTATCTTTTACGAATTATGAAAGATAATGATAAGCAATCGAATTTAGATTTATGGTGAAAAATCTTCGACCGACATAATCTTCGACCGACTCGAGATAATAGCATAATTTTATTTTATAAATTTATGGATAATTTTTATAACATCCCTATATAACTTTTTTGAATTAGGTCCCTATTTTCCTGGATAAAAATAAAAATTATGCACATATATTAGTGTCAGGTCAGATACGGATTTTCGCCCCAGGGTTCAAGTCGGGTTTTGGATCGAACGAGATCTCATTAAACTAGAATCGGATCAAATTAATGTGAAAAATGTATGATTCTCGGATCGAGTCAATTGAATCGGCTAGTTGTCATTTCTTGTCTCACTCACTTAAATATTTTTTATAGAATTTTTAAATTTTAACATTGTAAATTTGTCCGTATTTTTAATTCAATTTCTTTCATTCACAACATCAAAAATTGAACTTTTAATATTATTCGAAGAATCTAACATCCATCTCGTCAGACTAATCAATAATTAATATAATTTAGCATATACTTAATTACTTATTTAAGTTATTCTTTTACGCGTGAATCAATTTATTTTAATGGTTTAAAGAATTATTTTTGTTCTTAGAATTTACGAATTCAAGCACTGATGATTATAATAAGGTGATTGAGCATTTTTTGTCAAATAATTAAAGAATGACTATTATTCTTAGCAACCTCAGATACGGGCATCAACTACTGTAGCATGAATGATTTAGCGTTTGTTTGTATTGTGTTTTCTTTTTATTTAGGGTAGATTTCTTCTCAATATCTTTCGTAATACGTACGAGTCCCTTCGCAACTTTTTACTATTTTTAATTTAATATTATAGAAGAATAATTTTAAAATAAATAACATATTACGAAATTAATTTTGTGACGTGTACAAAATTCCTTAGTATACGTAATATATATATATATATAATACAAAAATAGATAAAGTTAGAAAAGGGATGGGTCAAAATGTTTGACTTATCTGAACCCAAAAATTGAGGGTTAATATTAAATTTTACAGACACTTAAACTTACGATACCTAAAATTCCATTACGCGAACGAGTCTTGGGACAAGTGGTTGAGATTCAATAATTTGAACTTGTAAGGTCAATTGCAAATCCTACCATTGTCATTTTTTGTGGGCAATCTGTAAATTTCTATGTAAATCCTAATTGGGACTTAGTATGCCTAGACCCTGAACTGGAGGAGTCAACCCTGACCTAAATTTTTTGTAACCAAAAACCTAAATTTCATTAGATCAAAACAAGTATAATGAATTTATAAAATTTTTGGGGGGTTAAAATGCAATTTTTAATTGAATTGTTGCATAATTACATAATTTTTAAGTATAAGAAAGGTGTTAGGACTAGGCATAATTTACCCAAATAAATAACCCATAATTAAAATGAAAATAAAAGCTAATTGTAAATATCATAAAATATGTGTATTGGAAATAGAAGTAAACCATAAAAAGTAAAGGGGACTAAAATGGATAAAAATAAAAATAAAATGCTAAATGTGAAATAGCGAAAAGAAAAAAAATGAAATAAGTAAACATAGGGGACTAAAATGGAACACGGTTAAACTAAGAGGTCAAGATCAGAACTCAAAAAGTCCATATAAGGGGACCAAAATAGAAATAATGAGGAACTAAAAGCTCAAAACAAATACTAGATTTCATTTGAAGGTCAAAATAAAATGTTACAAAGGAGGAGGCCCTTCTCAAGCTATAATACCCCGCATTTCTAAGTACGGACTTTTCTAGTCCTTTACCCATACACGGCAGTGTTTTAATGCCTTAACAAAGGCTTGCTTTGGTTTAATTAAAAAGCAAAAACAAATTAATCCTTATTTTTATGATGTTTGTGTAGTAAATTAACAAGAATTATCATTAACACTTAAACAATGACATTAATGATGTTATCTATTTGTATATTCTAATAATATTATAAAATAAATTATCCGAATATCTTAAATTGAAGTAAATTATTATATCTTGAATTAACAGTATATCCTATTTTGATCACTCTATTTTATTTTATTAATAATTTTTGTGAGACCAACAATCAGTTGGTCTAATGGGATGAGATATTAGGTCCCTTAAGTAAAGTCAGGGGTTCGAATCCTAACATTTGCGAATGGAGCGAACTGGGTTGGGAGGATAGCCATCGCCTCTGTAGTACCCTATCTGGATTAGTCGGTCAATAGATCGGATATCAGTGATTAATTTAAAAAAAATAATTTTTGTGAGATGTCATTTATTATTATTATTATTATTATTATTATTATTATATAATTAAAAATAAAAACAAATTTGAAAGTTAGAGCGATTGAATTAGGATAAATTTGAAATTTAAATAATTAAATTAAAAAAATTTAAACTTTAATGACCATAATAGGAGTGAGAAGATAGTTGAATGATGAACGATGCAATTTACTCATAGAAAAGGTATCACATGTGCCAAACTGCTCGTTAAGTTTTCGACAACGAGAAATTAAAATAAAACAAAAATTAAATGTTAGGTATAGTTTTAAATTTTTTTAAAAGTTTAGATACTAAGCTCGAAATTTATCCAAATTTTTTTATGGGCAAGCCATCTTAACTTAGGTTGTCAAGTTGAGGTTTGCTTTGGCTTTATGTAAAACAAAATGGCATCTTAATTTTTTTTTGTAAATTTTATTTATTTAAGATATTCGATATTCGATCAAATTTTAATTAAATTTATAATCAAATCAAATTTTAAATAAAAAAATTTATCAAATATATTTTATATATTCAAAAGACATGAATTCGAATTATTACATTTCTTGTCTCTCGACCTAGAGTTGTAAATGAGATGAGATAAATCGTGATCTACTCGAGATCGATTCGGTCAAAGCTCCATAAATACTTCATTCGAATGGACTCGAGCTCGAATCGAGTTCTTAATGTGCTGAAACGAGCTACTTGATACTTGACTCGAAAAGATCGTGAGCAGATCAATAATATAATATATTAAGATTTTTTTTAAAAAAAATATTAAAAACATTAATATTTATGTGTCGATTTTTTTTTTAAAAAAATGCAATATCAGCTTTTCATGTATTTAATGTTCAGATTCGAGTTTGAGTTCGTGACCTAAATCAAGTTAATTTTAAGATTTGTTCCTTGCGAGCCTTTTTGAGCTTTTACGAGTTTTAGTTCATTATTTCATGATTGTGAGTTCGAGTCAAACTTGAAAATTTTAAGCTCTTGAGATTTCGAGTCAAGCTTAATTTCAGAGTTTTCGAGTCGAGTCCAACTCAGCAATACTTGAATTCGACTTGGCTTGTTTACAAGCCTAGCTCGACCCAACCATATAAAATTTAAAATAAAAAAAGTCAACAATTTCATTGACCTATACTAGGTATACCAACTAATATAGCATTGTCAACGGTAATTTGGATACCATTATAGAACTTGCCATTTGTTTAGAGGTTGGTCTAACTATGAATTTAATCAATATCGATTGTAGTTATTTCCTTTTTTAAGGGTAAAGTACAAAAATGTCTCGACTATAAGATATTGTTTGATCAAATCCTTTGACTATTTAAAGTTATAGAATGGTCCTTTGATTATAAGGAGTTGTTTTGTTGAGTCCCTCAACTATTAAAAGTTACAAAATGGTCACTTGACTATTCATTATGTTCCAAACTTATCATTTTCTGTTCAAAAATTGACGATCTTCTAAGTTAGACGTTAACATACTGACTGAGATATGATATTCGTTTGAGATTGCGATATCGGATTTTATCACATTTCAGTTAACAGATTAACGTATAACTTAAACTGTTGTCAAATTTTTAACAAAAAATGACAAGTTTGGTACTCAATGAATAGTCGAATGACCATTTTGTAACTTTTAACAGTCAAGGGATTAAGAAAAGCAATTCCCTATAGTTGGAGGACCATTATAACTTTTAATAGTTAAATGACTCAATAAAGTAGTATTATATATTCGATGACCATTTGTGTACTTTACTCATCTTTTAAATAAAACATTACAAGGCACAATTAGGTAATGACAAATGGTGAAACAGCAAAGCAAATACTAAAATGAAAGATCTGCCAACTTAATATTGTTGTAATTTTTTTTTGTTAGGTAGCTACTTTGGTTATAAAATTTTAAAGGGTAAATTTCACATTTAGTACCTAAACTACTAATTTTGATTCATTTTAGTATCTAAACTTTTACTTTTTTGAAAATCATACCCGACGTTTAGTTTTCATTTCAGTTTAGTACCCGCCGTTAAAAACTTAACGTGTTTAGTACCTAAACTATCAATTTTACTCCGTTTTAGTACATAAACTTTCATTTTTTAAAACTTAACATTAAATTATGAACGGTGATACTAAAATGAAACAAAAACTAAAGTTTTTAACGGTGTGTTACTAAAATGAAATGAGAACTAGACTTTAGATATGATTTTAATTTTTTTTTTTTGAAAATTTAGGTACTAAAATAGACCAAGACTAAAAGTTTAAGCCCCGAAAGTTTAGGTGTGACCACAAAACCTTTAACGAAATGGATATGCTATGTATACAAAAATATAACAGCACTTTGTTTTGTTGTGGAGTTATGGCGTTAGGCTAGCAAGTTTATCGAGAAATGGATCGTCTTGTCTTGTGTTTGCTTCCGCAACTACTTGATTAGTAAAAGGGTTTAGGGTAGTGGGGACAACTTAGGATCATAGTTATTTATTGAAACAATTGCTCAGACAACCTAGGAAAAGAAACGATCCCATCATCACTTTCAAAACATTTGCAAACAATGTCTGAAAAAACATGGTTAGTGACTTGTCTGGCATAGGTAGGTAGATTCTTCCACACATGATGGACTGAGGGGACAACTATTGAAAATTCGTTTTCATCCATTTTAGTATTTTGTAAGTTTAATTTCGTTCCCTAACGTAAAATACTACGTCCGTCTCTATTTCCAAATACGTCATAAACGTAACAACAACTCTTTCCGACATCATGCCTGCTTCATGATGGAGTAAAATGAAATGTGGCACAAATCTAGGTTTAAAAGTTTAAATTAGTGTAAATATAAGAGACCAATTTGCTTAATTCATAAATATTAGAATTTGAACCTCTAACTTTGCTTAAGCGATTTAGTACTCCATTTCATTAAATCAACTTATTTAAATTATTCTTTTTTTAAATAAAACCCTAAAATCACTCATTGCTTTTATTATTTTTAGGTCTGCATGGTACTGTAAATATAATTTATTATTAATAACGTATCTAATATGCACTTTGTGCACGAACTAAGCGACCCCAGTGATTAAGAAATTGTTATTTATCGAGGTATTACGTTCGAGCACTACATATGCATAAATATATATGTTCACTGTCAAAGGATTGAGAGTCTTTGAATATATATATAGAGACACACACGCCTTGAACAAATCTCATTCCCACTCTTATCTTGATTTAGCCTCAATGTTTTATAAAGAAAAATATACTAAAAAATATATAATAATTAAACCTAAATATATGAAATGTCATTTAGTGAAAAATGATTGGATAAACTACGCATTCAGTGTTTAAACCATCAGTTTTTGTTCATTTTAGTACCTAAACTTCCAAATTTTCAAAACATATCTAATGTTTAATTTTTATTTCATTTTAGTACACTGCCTTTAAAAATTTAACGAAACATTTCTACGTGACATTTTTATGGATAAATTACATCATTCATCACTTAACTATATTTTCAACCCTATTTTGGTCATTAAAGTTTAAAAATTTTCAATTTAACTACTCAACTTTCAAATTTCTCATGTTTTAATCACTCTAATTTATTTTATTAATAATATTTTGCGACAAAACATTTTTATTATTTTATTAATATATAATTAAAATAAAAAATTGAAAGTTAGAGCGATTAAATTAGGAGTAATTTGTAAGTTAAGTTTTTAACGACATGTACTAAAACGAAACAAAAATTAAATGTTAAGCGTGATTTTTTTTAAAATAAAAGTTTAGGTACTAAAAACTGATAATTTAAGTACTAAGCTTGCAATTTACCCAAAATAATTATATAAAGTGATCAAACAAGTTAATTTTTTTTAATAAAGCAAGTGGTTGGTTGAATCCACTACGACCATATACAGTTAGTATAATGGCCATGTTTTGAACTTTTTTGCTAACCATATGCTTACCCCTTTGCTCATTGGATGAACATTAAAGCTTACAAGACTATGATTGGATGATCCTCTCAGCATTCAATATAACAATGTAAGCCTAACACATGGTGGGCTTGGTCAATTTACACAAAAGTATTATATATATGGTCTACTTCTAGTTTTAGGCCCTATACTCTACTAAAAATTTGAATTTGATCCCTATAATCTCGTATAATTTAATATATCTACTTGTATAATATTATTAATAGGTCTAAAATGATAATACTGTTTTGTAAAAATATATTTTACATCATTTTCATAAATCCTAAGCATAAAACCTAAAACCCTAAATATACAAAATATGTGACACTAAAATAGACAATCTTGTATAACTTCATATATAACTTAAACTTCACACAAGCAACCTTGGTGGTAAAAAAATTGTTGTTATTTCTTGGGGTCCCGGGTTTGAACACCGGAAATATCAGAAGTGTGAGTGTTTAATATCAAATAGTTGAGAGTTATCTTTATGATAAAATACCAAATTTGAGCATAGTAGAGGGATAAAACCAAAATTAGACCCACATTTATTTTTTACAATAGTTTTGAGCTGGTAGACATGGCCCCAACCGTTGATGTCGACCAGGTTAGTGTCAGCACATGTCACATCGATATTGAGAAAGACAAATTATATCTATTATCTCTCTTTATATATATGGGTAAATTACAATTTTCATCACCCATATTTTTATTCACTCATATTTTGGTTGCTAAAGTTTAAAAGTTTTCAATTTACTCAATGAACTTTTGATTTACTCTTGTCACTAAATCAGAAATAGAAGGATGACACAACAACCATGTGTGATAATGTGGAATAATTTTTGTTGACATGGTATCCATATGTCATTCACATTATTTTTCTCATTTTTTAATTATTTTATTTTATCTTCTTCCTCCAAAAATAAAAGTTCTACAATTCATCCATGTCTTAAGTCTCATTATCTGATGTCTTTTCCGACTACTTAAGATATCAACGAACTCGCTTCATCATCTCCTACTACTCTATCAATTTATATTTTACATAAATCACTTTAAGACTCTCGAAATTCAACCTTAAGCTCAAAACTCATGAAATCCTAGACCACTCTTATCTTTAATATCTTTCATCTTATCAATGTGGAATCAAGATATACAACTTTCTTTTTTCTTTTTTACCTTCCGGCTGTTGTGAATTGGAAGAAGATACTTCATCATCGAGATATCAAAAGGAATTCGAAACTAGGACTTTTTAATTAAAAAGATATAGTTTTAGGGCCATTTTATCAATTTTAAAATAAATATATCCAGTCGTAACTCTGTTAAGTATTTAGTGACCGGTTGATTGAAATAGGAGCAAATTAAAAGTTAGTAAATTAGTAGGAAAATGAAGAAAGTCGAGGAATATTGTAATTTACCCTATACATACATGCTTTGTTTTTAAGTATTTATTAATTCGGTAATTGAAGATTACAGAACTAACCCCTTTCCACCTCGGGGACAAGCAAAACAATTGTCTAGGTTCAACCATGGCCGAGGATCCTGAGCTAGTGGTTCAAATAACGATGGCGGCGGCGGCAGCAGCAGCAGCAACATCAAGGAACAAGACAGGCTACTCCCCATAGCCATCGTCGGTCGGATAATGAAACAAATCTTGCCCCCGAAAGCCAAAATCTCGAAAGAAGCCAAAGAAACCATGCAGGAATGCGTCTCCGAGTTCATCAGCTTCGTCATCAGCGAAGCGTCCTACAAGTGCAAAAGAGAAATGCGCAAGACCATCAACGGCGACGATGTTTGCTGGGCTTTGGCGACGCTTGGCTTCGACGACTACGCGTCGCCGCTGATAAGGTACCTTTATAAATATAGAGAGCTCGAAGGAGACAAAGCAGCGGCAAATCAAGACAAGGGTATTGCTGATCACGACAGCAACATCGAAGACTCCAATCTGGATAGGTATTAATTAAACAACATAGTTTTTTTGTCTTTTTTTTTTTGCTGCTAGATCTAACCATGATCTTTACTGAGTTTGCTTCGATTTCATGTGTGGAATTTCTGCATCATTTGTTTTTCACCCCATCTTCAACAACATTCTTTTTTCTATTTTTAGTATCTTTCGACTTTCATGTTCATTTTACTATTTATGTTTCGGACATTCTTGTACCAATCTTCTGTACTTGGTGCTGTTTTTTCTAGCAGAACATGTCTTTAGCGACCTTTTTAAAGCCACTAAAAGCAAACGGAGAAACCGAGAATAGTTACGAACGTCGTCGGTATAATAATGTAGCAGAAATAGCGATGTTTAAGTGAGTATTTAACGACAATTCTTCAGCTACGAATATTTAGCGACGTTTTTCTTTAGAAACGTCGCTGAGTACACATATGTTGTTTATATGGGTATTCATTCATATGGACCTTGACACTTATCCTATAAGAGTCTAGTACAAGGAAGTTTATAAGAACATAAATATATATATACACACAGTTTAGCTTAAGATGAATTTGAGAATTTCAAGTACGCTTCCGTATTTAGTTTATTATTTTTGATGATTCGATACGATAAATCTCAAGTTATTCAGTCTTTATCGAATTTTTACGATTCTAACATTTATAGGCAATTCTTATCACCGGTCACCACTCACAGTAACAGATACACCAACGCAAACATAACGGAAATGAAGTCAAATTCGAGTCAATGTCCAGATCTTGTATTATCCATTCATAGAACAAAATTTTGTAGGTTTTTTTGACTTGGTTGAAGTGTCCGTTTAGGGTTAGGGTTCTTAGGGGTCCATCATTTTGCAGATATCAATGCTGCTGAAATGGACCAAAACAAGTCACTGAACCACCAAACCACATTCATATCTTTTAAATGAAAAAACTGTTGGTTTTGGCTTTTCATGCTTTATTATTGCCATTGACCTCTCATGAGTCTTTGCCTCATTTAAGATCGGATCAGATTAGGGTTTCCCATTGTGTGTGTATATATACACGTGTATGTATACATTTAAGATCGGGTCAGATTAGTGTTCATTGTCAGGATTATAATATTTGATGGAATATTCAGGGAATCCCCATTGTCCAAACCTCCAAGAATAAAGAAGAGAAACCTGCAGGATATCTTTTGTTAGAAAACCGAACCGGTTCTTCGATATTCGCAAGTCTTTCCATGTTTCATTACCTTCATTTGCACCTTCACGATTCGAATCCCTACAAATTCAAACACGAAAGGACACTCTTACGATACGGTTCAATGGATCGTGTAAGATCATAATAATAAAAGTTGTCGGCTCGGATCGAATAAATCTTAAATAATATGGATTTTAAGTTGATTAGATCTGGACCATATGAATATGTTGCTCCAACAATGAAGTTCGTCGCTAGAAATCAGACATAGGCAGCGTTTATGGGAGGTTTGTGAAACCCTAATTATCATGCTCCCATTTTAACTATCATCAACCACATTAAAATAGAGGTTTAATTATGGTATAACTTGATCGATCTAAGTGCTTCTTAGGTATGTTACTTGGAATCTTTGTTTTTTCTTGAATTCTTCGTTTCGATAGTCATGTCTGATCCATGAATATCGGAATACGACCTCCAAATATCATCCAAATACATTATCCCGTGCTTGTCACATCTCCAACTCGACTTTTTTATTTATACATATAGGAACTCGTCATAAACTTGATTTTATCCGAATACCTTAAACCCTTAACCCGAAAACATAATTACACTTTAATACACATGATAAACCCACTACTACAAGAGTAGGGACCAATCTTTCAATGGTGATGAAGTTAACATGTCCACATTCATGTAGACCAAATCTAGTGATGTTTTTGTCAATTTTATTAAATTTGATTCAATTTTGATTTGGTTACTACTTAAATATATACAGTTTAATTCATTCATAAATTTTAAAAAATTGATTCTCCTATTTGAATCGAATTATATTTTTATTTAGTTTATAATTTTTAATATTAAATATTTGATATACTAATGTTGCATACCTCTATGAGGTGTAGGTGAACGAAACGATAACACATCATCATCAAGAATGAATCGAAAGGAATTTATTAAACAGTGATCATTACATATGTCGAATTATTATGTAATGACCGATGTATGTTATAAAATATTGATAAATTTAAAGACAGTTCTGTAATAGTTCAATAAATTTTAATAATTATTTTATATTAGTTTAATAACTATTTCATAATAATTTAATATATTTAATAATTATTAAAATTTCAGTGATAAAAAAAACCATTTTTGACATGATGTAATGGTCATTTATAAATTTACCCTTAAAAATGAAATAAGGAAAAGAAGATAGGATTTATATAAAAAAATTCAGATTTTCAGATTGATTAAGTAGCAAGAAAAGGGTAAATTATGAATTTAATAACTGAAATTTACTCTCTCTACTATTCTAATTACTGTTATTTAACGATTTTTTAACAATAAACACCTAAAAGTGTAACAGAAAAACGTTAAGTACTTATTTTTAACGAAAAACTTTTAGGCACCAAAGGTCAATTCTAAATACAATTTGGGTACTTGTTGTTAGATTAAGCCTAAAATTAATCGTGGAATGACAAAAAAAAATCTATAAACTTTAGTGATTAAATTAAAAAATATTAAAAATATAATATATGAAATAGGAGAGAGAGTAAAGTTTAGTTACTAATATGTAATTTACCCAAAAATTACCCTCGATCTTCACTAACACCCCCGTTCAATTAAATTCATTTTTTTAGTACATTTTCTTCCCCTCCCCCCCCCCCCAATTCTTTTTAGGGTTTGGATTTTTTAATCTCATATTTAACTGAATTTTCCACTAAATTCAAACCCATCTTTTGCCTCCATTGTTTGGTCGGGGCTAAATCAAGGTTTCGTCCATATATAATCAAGCAAAAGGCGAGTCTTTGAACCTTATAATCATTGCTTTATTTGACTTTCCTTCTTTTTTTTCGGTTGATTGAAGGGAGAAGGGAGAAGGGAGAAGGGAGAAGGGAGAAGGGAGAACTGTTTTTAAACTGATTTTTAGGATCTTTTTATTATTATTATTATTATTATTATTTTTGGTTTTTTTTTGGAAGGGTTAAACAAATAATTTCATTAAAAAGGCGGCTGCCAAATGCTTGCTTCCGATATGAATCCGGCCAGATTTTCCGGCGGAGTAACCACCAGCGGTGTGGTGCTATTCCCAATTCAGTTTACATGGCCACATGGTGGAAGAAGCGTCTTCTTGTCTGGCTCTTTCAATGGGTAACTCTTTAATTAATCCTCTTTGTTTTTGCTATTATGAAAAGCGTGATGCTTAAGGCTTATGATTAGTATTTGGATCAATGGTTAATTGTTTGAAAAAAAAATACGAAGGTGGACCGAGCTCGTGCCAATGTCACAGGTTGAAGGTTCCTCCAATGTGTTTCAAGCTGTTTATGCCGTATCCCATGGTTCCCATGAGGTTGGTTTGCTTTTTTTCTATAGGAATAGGAAAATTCAAATGCTTTGAATTCTTCAATGAACTTATCTAATTGCTTATTTAAGGTTTTGATGGCTTTGAGAAAGTCAAGTCTTTCATCCATTTCCTTCTTTGTGTTTTATTTGCTCACATGTGTCGTTTCTCACGTGCAGTACAAGTTTCTCGTTGATGGTGAATGGCGACATGATGAGCGTCAACCTCACAAGAATGGCGAATATGGAATAGTAAACACTTTTGAAGCTAGACCTATGCCTATGGAGGTCCCTCATGTTCAATCTCATTCAGATATAATGCATAGCATGGAAGTAGATAATGGCCTCGCGGTAAGAGTTAGCTAGACTCCTTAACTTTTTATACTTTGCATTTTGCTGAAGATATTACTTTTCAAGGCTTAGTTTAGCATTGCGATTGAGATTAGAAGATAACTCATCAAAATGGCAGTAGTAGGTAGTATTAGTAAAAGAAGGTAGGAACTTAATTTTTGCGATTGTTGACAATTCATCGCAGTCAAGATTCTTTTTCATTGAAAATTGATCTTATTTGGTTTTCTGTTTGCAGTCGAATGCAGTTCAGATTTAGTTATGTATTGGAAACACTGTAGTCTGCATGTGATTGATGCTTGTTGCACTTTAGTTCTTAGTGCATGCCCATCGTGTATCTTCTCTACTTGTCTATTCATTAGTACCTTTTATTTCCCTTTACATCCTTGTGTAACTGGATTTTGGTACCTTTTTCCAACACAGCATCGAGTTTCTGCTGTTGTATTGAATCAAACAATGCCTAGGATTTCAGAAGAGGATGTACAAGCCTCCCGTCATCGTATCTCTGTATACTTGACGGGGCATACTGCCTATGATTTACTACCTGAGTCAGGCAAGGTTTGGATGCATTACTATTGTCTTCCTTCTTGATATACTCATTCTCTGCTTGTTTGACTCTGACCAGTTCATGTTACTTCCATTTTCTAATTTATACAGATCTGCCTTGCAGGTTGTTGCCTTGGACGTTGCTTTGCCTGTAAAACAAGCATTTCATATTCTGTCCGAGCAGGTATCTATCTAGTTTACTCAGATGTTAGGATTTAGTTGTTTTCGGACATTAGGCAACTGTTATTTTCATATTAGTTTCGTGATAGCCACATAATCTGCCACAATTGAAAAGCAAAGAAAGAGAAAATGTGGAAACTTCTGTACTTTTATTTTGCTAATCGTTGCTTCTTAATAACATATATGCATAGTTGCTTATAAAGAGCTTGGAGAAATATGTTCTGAGTCATGCCTTTTTCAGGGCATTCCTTTGGCTCCTCTTTGGGATTTCTGCAAGGAGAAGTTTGTTGGAGTTATTAGTGCTTCGGATTTTATATTGATTCTGAGAGAGGTATGTTCATAATGCATAATCACATTTTTTGATAGTAACAAGTCTTCCAAAATCTACCGAGTTTTCCGTTCATTCTAATTTCAACAACTAGAAAGTTTCTAGTTATTAATCAATTTACTAAC